CGACCACTCCGTACAAATGGTCAACCTAGCTAAAGCTGAAGCGATTTTTGGCCCCGTTGATAAGCAGTGTGCTCAACCCTACGATGCAATGAAGCCTGTAGGAAACCTCAGTTACATGTTTGTATTCATGTCGCACATTGTGCCTCATATGATCACAGTCATGGAAACATAGTAAGTGGTTCACTGCGGTTAGAAATGCGTTAGTCACAGTGCTTGTGCTAGAACGACAGGCGGTGACAGACGCCGAAGCCAAAGTGCCGCTGCAGTGAGAGAGAAACAACTTTATTGATGGCATAACATGGCCAATAAACTTGATTTGGCGGTGGTTCTAAGGGGGTGGCGAAAAGCTTGCAACGACCATTTCGGCCCAGTTAACCACTTTTTAGTGTCGGCAGAGCGACCATGAACATTCCGAAACGTGGATTTGAAAAAGCTTTATTACTCAGGACACCGACATATATACAGGACAGAGACACATACACAACGCCCCCTCTCAGGTACAAATAACAGAACAAAACTGACCTAAATTCCCATTACAGCATATTTCCTTCCTTATTTAAACAGGTTATAGGTGTAAGTAGGGGTTAGAACAAACATAGAACACTTAGAAACACAATGTACACCCGCACTAGTTCGACACAGAGTCCTTCACCCATGCAGAAAGTCGTCTTTCTGGCTGCGGCCGCCTGTTGCTTGCGTGGCAGCACTCTGCGCCGGCGCAGGCTGAGACTGCACTGGACCAGATGAGGTTGGTTGCCCTTAGTTGGTTGTGGCGCTGGCACTGCAACAGTTGGCGCAGCAGAAGGCTGCGGTGTGGGTTGCCCGGCAGGAGAAGCTGGCAGAACAAGAAACTGATGTGGTTGCACCGTTGTGGGAGAAGTAGGTACAGAACAATAGCATGGCACAGCACACCCGAAGGAAGTGGGAGCAGCTCACAGGAACACTCAGGAAATTGAAACTGACTCCTCTGAAGAACTTTCGCAAGTTTTGAGGCGTTGCAGGTCCTACCATCTTGTAGCCGGAAGGACGAAGGCCATTGTTTCTTCACAACTTTTCTTGGTGGTGAAAAGACACTATCTCCTTTGAAACGAATAGACGGCTTCCTGACACGAAATCACCTACTGTGATTGCAGTCCCTTCGGTAGCTCTTCTGCGGTCCGCATATTGTAAGCTGGTTTGCTGCTGTTTCTTGATCCTATGGCGTAATCGAGAGAGCTCTTTAGCTGGATCTTCTTCAAAAGCTTGTGCAAAAAAGCCTACTACGTTCAGTCTTGTTCGGGGCATCCTGCAATGCAACAATACTGCTGGCTTGTTGTGGCTTGTGGTGCACATCTGTATACACCCAGATACTCAGTTACTGCTTGGCGCAGCTGTTGTCGCTCCAGTAGACACACCTGTACATAGTTCTTAAGAGTTCGATTAAAGCGCTCGACTTGTCCATTAGCCTGAGGATAGTAAACTGATGAATGAGACAAGCGAATGGCTCGATCGTGAAGAAATTCTGTGAATTGACGAGAAATAAATTGTGGCCCGTTGTCAGTACCTATATATTCAGGATAACCCTCTAGCGAACATACGCCGGTTAGAAACTGCTTGACTATGCTTGTGGACACGCTTCTACAGAAATAATCTTCAGGCCATTTTGAGTGATTATCAACGAGCGTGATTATAAACCTGTTGTTCTGAGGCACATGTTCAAGAAAGCACACATTATCAATGCAAGGTTTTTCCCATGGTCGCTGAGGCCATTCTACGAGTTGCATGAGTGCTGGTGACGTTTTCGCAGTTATCTACCTCCAAGCACAAACCAGTTCTTTACGGCTGTTTCAACTTCTTTGTCCATCCCAGGCCACTAGAACTGTTCGTGGAGTCTTGCATTTGTGCGCGTGATGCTTGATTGATATGTGGGGTTTAACGTCCCAAAACCACCATATGATAATGAGAGACGCCGTAGTGAAGGGCTCCGGAAATTGTGACACCTGGCGTTCTTTAACGTGCACCCAAATCTGAGTACACGGGCCTACAACATTTCTGCCTTCCTCGGAAATGCAGCCGTCGCAGCCACGAATGGATCCTGCGTGCGCGTGATGCTCGATGCATCTCATGCGTGGTGGCGATAATTTGGGCAGAAAGAGATAAAGGAACGACCAGCTACTCTGCACGCAACATTAGGGCATCGACCACTGAAAATTCTTCGCGAATGTTGAAAAATGTTTTGATCTGCCCACGAATGCATTTTTATGGTGGACAAGAAGTGATCACAAAATATTTGACCTTTGTAAGCAGACATCACTGTAGAACAGCTTGCTTGAACTCTTCTTTAAAGATACAAGCAGGCTCGACAAGTGCGACAATTTCATCATCTATCGCGAGTTCCGCTTCTGAAGTAGGGCTTGGTAGACGAGAAAGAGCGTGTGGAACAGTGTTCGTTGACCATTTTTTATACTCGACGAGAAAATTGTAGCGGGGAGGAGCCTAGACCCCAGCGTGCAATACGAAGTGGACGTCTTCCTGATTTGTGTGATGCCGTCAAAGAAACCTATGCTTATAGGTCAGTTTGAAGTGTGAACTGGTGACAGCAAAGGGAGGTATGTCATTTTTTACATGCCCAGATGCATGCAAAGCTTCGCGTTCACCGACCGAATACTTTCGTTCTGTAGGTGATTATGCGCGGGATGCAAAAGCTATCGTGCGCATTTCACGCCCATCTTTCTGCTGCAATACTGCTCCAAGCCCACAGTCAGATGCATCAGTTGACGCAATCACCGGCAGTGCTGGGTCAAACGTATGCATTATTGTTCTAGATGGAAGGAGTTCTTTGACTCTCTTAAAACTTTTGTCTGCTTCTGCTGACCAAATAAAAGGTTCATTTCGACGTAGTAAGTGCCTCATGCATTCTGCCACCTGAGCTGAATGAGGGACAAGCTTGGAGTAGTACTCCACCAAACCAAGAAACGAACGTAAGATGACTATATTTGTTAGCACTGGCGTTGTCACGATAGAGTCTACTTTCTCTGGAAGCGGCGCGATAACACTGGTAGTCACCTTATGCCCAAAAAAGGTCAGCTCCCGAGCGTCGAAAACACATTTTTATTTAGCTTCAAGCCTGTTGTCTTAATTTGCTGAAGGACAGCTATCAGGTTCAGAAGGTGCTCATAAGCTGTCTTTCGAAATACAATTACATCATCGATGTAAAATAGGACTCCTGAACAGTCATCAAGAATCGTTGCCATCAACTTTTGGAAGGCTGCAGGGGCAGAAGCCAAGCCAAAACACACTCTTTTGAACCGGAACAGACCTTCATGAGTAATGAAAGCAGTGAGATCCCTGCTATCAGCGTGCAAGACCACCTGATAGTATGCAGAAGCCAAGTCAAGTTTAGAAAAATGAGTAGCATCTACAAGGGCGTGAAGAATTTCCTCTATGAGCGGTAGTGTAAAACTGTCAAGAACAATGGCCTTATTTGGATCGCGAAGGTCGACACATAATATGATACTGTCATCCGTCTTGGCAACTACGACAATAGAAGAAACCCATTCTGAAGCGTCAATCTGTTCTATGATGTCGAGGTCCAGGAGCCTGTGAAGCTTGGCAGACAATTGTGCCCTACGAGAAAAGGGAAGACGGCGAAGCTTCGAAGATACCGCCTCGACCTCTGGACGTGTCTTAATTTTGTGTACGAATTCTTTAGCAAGGCCAAGCTGAGAATTGAAAAGCACAGAAAAGTCACTTTCTAGAGCTGGATGAAGGCTTACATAATTGAACCGCGTGTCCTCTGTACCAACGTCAGAGTGTGCCATATTCTCAACTACACTTCTCCTAGGAGAAACGAACGTTTCCGCAATGTCCCACCTTCAAGACGTATCTTAAGAGCCATTCTGCCGTCAAGGCCAATCAAAGAAGTGCCTCAATGGACAACATAGAACAGGAGCTGCGCACTCCGACCCTTGAAAATAACGTCGGCTCCGAAGCAGCCACGCACAGAGACTGCACATTTTGAATAATCAAGCAAGGAAACGCGGGGAGCAGGTAAGAGTCACACGTTAAGAAACCTGCCAGTGAACACTTCGTCAGAGGAAATCGAGATGAATTAACCCGAATCAACTAAAAGTGTAAACTTGACATCAGAAACTTGCACATTTAGGTGGACCGCATCACGCAACGAGTCATGGATGGCCAGAACTTGCTTGGCATGATTGGGTGTCGAAGGAGCGTCGTCACACTCAAGCTCATGAATCTCTGCTTGCGTAAACCATTTCTGGTTACAAGTGCGTTGAAAGTTATCTTTCCGACGGCAGAATAAGCAACGCTGGACTAGTGCTGGGCATCGAGACCACGAAGCGTTGTGGTTTCGGGAGCCACAACTTAAACATTGCGGTAAATGAGAAGGCCCCCTATGCCACGCACATGAGATGCTATCATGCGTTGACGAACTATACTCTGCTTTCTGGCATACACTTCTTTCTTCATTGAGTGTTTAGCATGCGTATGTGAATGCTTCAAAACAGGCTGTACAGAAGCAGAAAACTCATTTATTTCTTCGCTCGCACGCTCAAACTGCCGTGTGACCTCAACTTCCTTAGTGAATGAATGCACAGAACCTTCAAGTAGGAGACGCTCGCGCACACTATTTGGTGAAACGCCGGCCACAAACTGGTCTCGAAGAGCATCGTCCTCAGAAACAAAAGAACAAACTGATGCGAGCTCCCGCAACACCGCGACTGAGTCAGCAACAGACTCGCATGTACTTTGGTACCGACGATGGAACCGGTGGCATTCTACGACGACGTTGCTGGTTGACGCGAAGTGTTGCATGAGTGCCGCAACGGTTACGTCGTAGACATTCGGTGCAGTTGGCGTCCCAGTTGCGTCGGGCTTGTCGGCAAACGGGGTTTGCGTTGTAGCTGCGTCGGCTGGTAGCATGTTGAAAATGCGCTATCTCTCCGTTTGAAGACAGTGAGTGAGAATGGCCCTGCGTCACTCCAGCGAAAATTCGGTACCTCCAGAAGCAAACAGGTACGTCTAGAACATGCGGTGCCACTGCTCCCATGGCGCGGCTGGATGGCCGGGGCTGAGCAGGAATGACGGTGGCGGGGTCGACCCAGAACAGCTCATGGTAAATGGACCCTGGTCACACTGGCGAAAAAAATAGATCTACGAAGTGGAGCCCGGAAACGGTTGCGAAGCAGCAGTACTTGCAGTTTACCTCGTTGCCATTGTAGTGTCCTTCAGAGCGACCATGAACAGTCAGAAACATAGACTCGAAGAAGCTTTATTACTCAGGACACCTATATAAATACAGGACAGACACACATACACAACGCCCTCTCTCGGCTACTAAGAACAGAACGAAACTGAAATAAAATCACATTACATTCTGTCTTGAAGATGGTAGTCAGCTGAGGACAGGAGCGACTCCCACGCATCGAGGGAGGAAGCTGGCAGTGTTGTTCTTGGTGAGCGGTTACCCTTGCATTCCCTAAAGATTGTGATTTGTGGTAGCGTTCACGCAGCTGCATTGTCGGCAGTTTGGTGTAATCTCTTCTGGATAAACTTTAGACAGCTGATGACGGCTGGGCAAGGAATCTGTTTGAATTTACCTCCAGATCGAGGCCTATTCCTTTGACATATCTGCCTTCGGGGCCGCGTATGTATTGCGGTTTTCTCGGTAATACGCAGTAATTTTGTTATACGTGGTGATCTCTTCCTGCGAGAAGTCTAGTGTGGAGGGGTCCATGTCCCGGTTGAATAAACCTCGGGCTATGTGGTGGGCCGCCTCGTTTCCTGGATTGTCCGCGTGAGCGGGTACCCATATTAGTTGTATTTTGTTGCCTCGTTCCTTATTTTGATAATGTTGGCCACAATCGGTCCAACACAGCCCGTCATAAAGTTCATGAGCGCTCTTTTCAAATCACTCAGGATAGAATTGGTAGCTAGAATTGAGGTGGCCAACGCGCGATGGCGCCTTCTTCTGTCTCTAATGCGGAGGTCGCTTTGATGGTGGCTGTAGTAATAAGTTCCCCATTGCCGGTCACCGCGCACATGGCGTAATAGTCTCTCGCTTGTCGAGCGGCGTCAAAATACAGAACGTTTGGGTGATCCTGAAAACGTTTTGGGACGTTTTCTGCTCTTCGTTTCGTCTCTCGTCATGTATTCCTGCCAGCATATTTTTGCGCAGAGGTTTCAATATATCTGCACGAATTGCCACTGGCAGGAAAACCTTGTTGTTGAGCGTGCAACTAGTGCGCCGTCCGAGACGGTGGAGTATGTGCAAGCCTGCTCTGGTTCGTGGGAGCCTTTCTTCTTGGACCGTTAAATGCCCTTTTATTAGTTCCTCCACTGTGTTGTGGACAACAAGGCACAGTAGTTTTTGTGTTATCAGAAACTCCAGCCGAAAGCGAGCGTTCGCCCAGCGAACGCGCTCCCAAGTCATCATATTGATGTCGCAATGCCACATTTTTCCAAGCGTTTCACATCTTGAGCTAACTTATAACGCAGCTAATGGCTCACGTACTCGGGTAGGACGCTGTGAATGACGTAAATATTAACACACTCATTAGAGCCAACTCACGACACCACTGTTATATGGTTTTTCGTTTCTTACCATACAGAGCTTTTTGCTGTAAAGAGGTGCAGAATACCCCTAACTGTAGTACATGCAGTTGCGTAATGGCACTGAGGTTGGTAGGTGCATTGAATATCATGAAAAAAAAACTTGGAAACGACAACCAAAAACATAAAAGCTGATTACAGGAGGAGAAAGCATTCCAGTATTTCTGTGGAAAGGGGATGAACTTACAGCCCACAATAAAAAATAAGAGACTCATCTGAAAAGTATACGGCTGGTAATGAAAGGCGAGTGAGGGAAACAACTTTATTGGGTCCCTAATAGACGCAGGTTAACTCAGCGTCACCTGGCTTGGCCCACTCGATGATGATCTGGTTCAACCTAATCGTCCTCGCGCACTCTCTCTGGACGGCCCGTATTACAGAGGTGAAGTCCTGGGCTTTCACCAGCTTGTTAGTTTTCTTTTCTTGGGAAGGGGGACTCACAAAGGCACAGCCCTGCATGACGTGCTCAAAAAAATGCGTCATCTTCACGAAAGGAATTGTGAGAAAACGCGAATGCATTTCTTGCACCGAGAGGGGTTACGTTGCTGTCCAACATTCACATTCACTTATTTCTGCCACCGCCTTGAAAGGCGCCCCGCCAGCGAACGGATGGGAGATAGGGGCGTTGGAAGGAGAGAGAGCGAACGGCGAAACAGTGGCGGAGCAGCTCAACGCCGACTGAATTTCAAGGCCGAAAGGCTGCTGCAGTGACGTCAGAGGGGGGGGGGGGCAGTTACGCCGCGAACGCGGCAGAAAGCCTGTGTTTCGTTCACGTTTTAGGAGAACCAACGCTCCCGCTCTCGCATCTGCTGCGGCTTTATTGGGCCGAATAAAAGATGTAGAAAAAAAGTCTTACTGAGCATGCTCAGTTGGGCAACTGGGCCCTCAACCTCTGACGTCACTGCAGCAGCCTTTCGGCCTTGAAATTTAGTCGGCGTTGAGCAGCCCCCACTCCTTCCTACACTCTCTCTTACCACATGCTCCAGTTGCTAGGGGCGAGGATAAGTGCGCGCGCCCGCAGCTGTTGCTATGAAAGAGGGAGTGAGGGTGGAGAGATAACCTCTGCCAGCACGCGGAAACCACCGCAGACAACGCCGGATGTCTGACAAAGCCCGACTAAAAGGCATCCGTATTTGAACAGCTTTCATAGAAACGTCATCGAAGCAGAATAAATCCACCGGGTCACATGAATGAAAAGAAAGTCGGCTCTTGGTAACCACCGAAGTGGTAAAGACGAATTATTGAAGGGTACAAGTTACGATAAATCAAGGGGATTTGCTTTGCTGTTTGAAGTGAGCTCGAATCACGTTAATGTTGAATAAGCAAGCTTGAGTAAAGAACAGAAATGCATATACGCTGACAAGCTAAGCAAAGGACGCAGCATCTTCTATAGAATTCGAGGGCATCAACCCGAGTGCGTGTTAAGCCACTGGTATTGTTTAATCCTATACTTTTAAGAACAACCCACAGTGGTAAACAGGCCGTCGTTAGAAAGACACAAATGCTGACCGCAGATTAGTGATGGGGAATTCGGCAGAAAGGAAAGAAAGGCGGGTAAACTAAAGTTGTCATGAAATCTCGCTCAGATAAATTGAGTACTCATTTCTAATAGTAATCACCGTCATCATCATCACTAATATTATATATAGTAATATTACTCAAAATATTATATTCTTGTCCTTGTTATTTTTACTAATACAAATATTGTAATAATATATATCTTGAATAATAACCAATCAATCGATCATTAAATTTAGGCTACCAAGAAACAACATTAAGGTGGTTATGCAAGCACACGCAAAAGTTAATAATGAACGAATCAGTGTGTTCCCTAATAACCTGAATTACGATTCGTGGCCGCTGTAAGAGAAATGAAGATGGATAAGGGATCGAAAATAAAAAAAACGTTACTATACACGCAATCTTCTGGGGAGAAATCAAATAGATTCGAAACGCAGGCACGAACAGAAATCAATGCGAAATCAAAATGAAAAGAGAAGATGAGAGCCATGGTATGAGAGAGGAAAAAATTGCGGAATATATACAACTATGCGAATGCCTTCCTTTAAGATAGAATATATAAAAGAATCTGTGCGTTGTGAAAACTGTGTTAAGGCAGTGCAAAGCTCAGATAAGAGCAATAACTGTGGATTATTAAACTTATCAAGATCGAGAAAGTCAACATTATGGAGATTATCATTTCGTGAAAGTAGAGTATCAAGAGAAACTGGCCAGTCCATGATATGGTCGAGTACCTTCGGTTACCTTACACGGCAATCGATAATTAATACAACTAAAAACTAAGTTGCAGGTTATCGTACCGTGAGCTAGACTGTAGAAGATGGATGGGTCAACGCAATTTTTTCGGCAGTAAAGTGACGGCAGTTGCAATAATCTAGCAGTGTTCGAACATTATCAAGAGGCATTTTTATGGAATCGATAGTTGTAAGTGCCTAAAATTTTTTCTGGAGCCGTTCAACAACCTCACTTATTGATTTAGCAATGCCAATCTAGATCATAAATGCATACTTAAGTTGAGGAAGACATATTGAGAGGTGAAATTTGGGAAAGGCTATAGGAGAACCGACTTCTCAAACACAATTGAGAAAACGAAGACTACACACGGCAGCGCGCTTATTGTGAGAAGGAAAATTCCGCTTGCTTTCAAAAAGAACACCAAGGTCATTGATTATATAAACCTTGACTAATGGCATATTATTACCAGAGTACAAAACTCACATGATGGGTGTTATGAGGTATAAACTCATGACTTTGCTTTTTGATTTTGATAAATTGAGAAAATTGGTATTTTGGGGCACCATTAAGGCAAACAACAGAATTATGAGTGCAGCAAGTGATAGTCGTCAACTCTATAAAAATTTTTTCAAATGACTTGAAATCATTGGCATTAAAAAGATGGCTATGTAGGAGGTTCACAACTAACAAGTCAACTTCAAAATGTACAAGTTTACTCAGGATAAGTGATCTGCCGACTACGTAAAAAGCCTTTTTCAAGTCACACTAGACTACGTCAACCTGTTCTCTGTTACAGATACGCGGGGAGATTTGCGTCATGAAACGAGAAACTTTGTAATGGTTTAGCGGCCAGTGATAAACTCGTGAGGAATGAATTTTTCGCATTAAAATGTAATATTTTGTGAAGTGCCTCCTGAAATATTTTCGATGTGGCACACAGTGTAAAAAACGGGCGGTAATTCGAGACATCAGTTTCGGATCCCGGTTTGAATAGTGGGAAGCTATGCGCAGTTCTCCAGTCAGTGTCATACTTGAGTTTATTATGACGCCTTATAAACGGATGAAAATGCATGGTATAACAATCGGCGATGGCACGACTTCGACACCTTGCGAGCTCCGTACTCTCACGGATTCTCGACTTTAGCAAGATCGTT